GAAAGCTGCTTGTGGTCCTCTCATGTGAGTTAAAGAGAAAATTATTTGCAAAAGGAATTCTGTCCAGGATTTGGCTCACAAGCAAATAGAGGTGGAAGAGTTAGCTATTTCAACAAACCATATTTCTGATCTTAATGCCTCTTAAAGAACTCTTTTCTGAACCCACTTCAGTTTGGGGAATTTTGCCAAAGAAAGCAGAATTAGACATAAATGAGGAGTCACCGCCCACCTCTCTCCTTGCCTGCCTCCATAACCTTTCTTTGGAGCTTCCTTACTAACCACACTCCTGCTCTGAGAGCCCTCAACCCTTCTTTAGGAGACTGGTGACACCTTTGCATGCCACAGAAGTGTTATTTCCCTCTTCCTCATTGCAGAATCCTGGACTTGCCTACAGTTGCACCGGAAGCTGGGGCCTCATCCAGCATCAACCCTATGTTTCCCTATGCCTCAACTCACTCCTGCAGCCAAGGTGCAACCAAATCCCTCGAAAAAGAAGGATCAGTTTAGTTTATTTCTTCATAAATTTCACTACATCTGAGGCTGGTGGAGTTTCCTCCTCCTTGGGCTGTTACTTCCTTTAATCCAAAAAGACACGGTTGGTACCAGCTGAGCTGGGTAAACGCTGCTCTCCCATCTGCGGGCTGGGAAGCCAATGGTTTCACACAGAGCTACTCAGGGCAGGAGGAAGGGAGCAGTGCTCTTTGGGGAGAAGGTTACAAGCAGCCTGAACATGCCCGGTGTTTTTACCCAGCTCTCCTTGTATCTGGCACCACAATGGTTTCATTTATGACGCCTCAGGTTCACGGATATTTCGAGTTTTGGAGGTTGTTCAGTGAAACAAGCACTGACCACTCGCCCAAATATTTTACTAGTTTTGGCTATTATGTCAAAACATTGGCAAAAAAAGAGGAAGATATAAACAGAAATACTCCTTCAGTCTATAGGGTTTGCAGTCCACTGGGCACTCCTGAAGAGGGAAGCAGTTCATTGATCCAGTCTGTCCGGACTCTTGCAAAGAGCCTGATAAACTGTCCTGACTGCAACTCCATGAGCCTGTAGCAAAGAGGGATGCTGAACAAGTGGGGAGAGGAGGAAGAGTATGTTAATTTTCCTTATGCAGAACAGGACATTCAAATGACCTATTTTTCAGCTTGGATTTTGAAAAGCACAGATCACTTCAGCACCTCCGGATTTGCTAAAAAACTTTTCAGAGGAGGACAAAGGTAAATCTGAGAGAGCATTTTCATGAGTTTCCTTTAAAGCAGTTCTCTTAGTCCTATTTTTTCTGTAACCACCCCTACCCACCCATTTATCAAACACTAAACACTACAACCTGCAGTAAGTAAGCTCTGGTTCCTACAACCTTTTGGTTGCAATCTGAATGCTGTATTAGGAGACATCATAGTGCAAGAGGGAGATAGTACAAGGACGCTGCCCTGAGGATGGCCAAAATCCATGAGTGTGTTCTCTTCCAGGAAGAAGGTAAAGCCTTGGTAACAGCTTTGGCCTGCCTCCCACTGCACAGTATCCTGGCTGGCCAACCCAAAGGGTGCTCATACTTTCAGAGGCCACTAGTCACCTAGATTTTATCCTGATGTAAGGATGATGCATGCTTCAGAGAGGTAGGTGTTTTTGGAGAACTCCAGCCTGCAGTGGAGCAGTACTACACTGTACTGACAGTCCCACTGAATTCACTGCACTATTTGAGACCAGTGAGGGACACCAGCCCCCTCTGTGCATTGAAACCTTCTCACCCTGTGCAGCCTGTATATTGCAGGCATTTCCTCCCCTCGAGAGCTTTTACTGCTTTTAAAAATGTGCACAGGGCAATTCCAAGTGCAAGGTGCATCTGCTCTGTCTCTGAGAGTTGTACTTTGCCTGTGGATTTCAGTATTAATCAGACTTAATTACACAAGCAAGAAACTGAGCCTCCTGCCTCAGTAATACTGCTATGTGCCTTAGCCATGGCAAGCTCTCTCCATGCCACAAGAGCAGGCAAGGCTGCTGAGAGCCTAAAGAGGGTGTTATTCCAACAGAGACCATTCTTTTCATCACTGAGTAGGTTGTAGGCAACACCATCTTAGACAAACATGGTACTGTGCACCACCATTTCAAATATTTTGAAGGTTGTGCAGGAATTTCTTACTCATTGGAAAGTCTCTTCAATAACTATATTGTCTCTGTGGGTGCACTTCTACCTGTCCCCTGTGCTGAATAAATAGGCATGTAGATTCCACAAAATTATGAAAGTGAATCTCTAAAGAGAAAATAAGAAGAGGCAGAGATTAGCCCTGGGCACTTACTAAAAATCAGGCATATACACTTAGAGAGTCCTTCATACCCGCTTTCAAATAAATAGAAAAATGTTCACTTTGGAACTTTCTGTTTAAAGAAACCCTTCTCATGGCTGCCACAGCCTGGGCCAGCTCCTAGCCAAGCACTCCATGCAGCTCTCCTGTGCACACAGCAGGTACTAAACTGCCTGATGTTCAGGCCCCATCTCAGAGTAGGACCTCAGTGGGAGCACAGAACTTGTCATAGAGCCTGAAGTGCTTTGTTTCCATATGTGCAGATCACATGGCCACAGGTACAAGCAAATATATGGTCTTCAGTTATATATTTCCATCTTGAAGAGAAAGATTTGGATGTTTCACAAACCATACAATTGGCTCTCTCCTTCTTCTGATCCTCCTCACATTCTACTTCCCACACACATGTGCATACATACAAGTGTCAGCCATTTGTTCCGATGGATTTAGCCTAGTTTGGATCAAAGCTTCCTCTACTTCATTTAACAGATTTGCTCAGATGGAAGGTCTCAGGGGAGAAATAATGTTAGTAAGAGGGGGCTTTTCAACATTAAGTATGTAGGTCATTGGACTTTAAAATAAATTAGAGAATAGTTTATCTATTAAACAAGCCTCACAGTACATATTTCATGAAGCTATACTTAATTATAGGCTAATGTGCACCACAGAGCTACCAAGAAGAGAGATTAGGCAGTGGCCCATAATGTGGTGATTAATACAATTATTAGCTGGCTGGCATACAGCATCTATTATTTGGTACCATCATGTGAAACAACAGACCTCCAGTTCCTAATGCTAGCACTTCTGTGAAATGCAACAAACCCAAACATTTCCACAGAGAAACACACATCTCCCTGTACCTCAGAGGCAGCAGAAAGGATGCAGGAAGGTGAGAGCAGACTTGAACTTCCACTTCAAGTGCCTTTACAGAGTTTGCTTCTCCATCATGGATGCACAGGAATATCCCACACCTTCTACAGTGAAGTGCAACACTGATTGTCTGAGCACCTCTTCTTCAGACCCTGAACAGTCTCTGATATGAGGGGAGCTTGTTTGGGTTGGAATTAAAAGCTGAGGACAAGGAAACGTAAGCTAGTATCAATACTCTCTTGCTACAGTGATGGTGTTAGGGACATGATGCACTCACTGTATGCAAGATCACTGGTCTTCTACGTTAAAGCCCTGTAGACTAAAGAAACACAGTTGTGAGATAAGCAAATCTTTTATGGATGCTGCAGGACTTGCCTGTTCCAGAATCGGTGTCATGAACCGTTCAGTACATTATATTACTTACGATGGAGGGTTAAGAAGCAGGTAATTTCTTTCTTGCTGGGGAATGAGCTTTTGGTTTAATAGCAGACTTGGGCATTACCAACCTGGCTCTCCCAGTCTGCGTGAAGCAGAGCTTCATGTTCAGCGACAGTGGCAAAGCCCTCACCGGCAATGTTACTGCTGACCTCTCGCTCACGTTCAGAATATGTCATTCTGTCAATACCATCTACCTTGATTATACCAGGCTTTATATACAACGGGTTATGATCCCAGAGGGATGAAAAGCTTTTCCAAATTAAAAGCAGCATTTTAAAGAGGAAATACTCATACATTCCAATGTAGTTTTCATTTGATATCCTCAAGGCTAACCCCAGAACTCAAAGTCACGTTGATTGCAAGTGAATGTTTTTTCTGACTGCAGCCATCTTATGAATTTAATGGAAGAAGGGAAGTAATAAAATGTGCTCCATACTTTAATTAGTTCCCTCATAACATGGCATTTCCAAAATGGCAGTGCCAAAGAAAATCATTAATCTAGCAGAACAGACAAAGGCGCTGTATGGGGCAAGGGACAGATCTCCAAGAGACACACACACACACTTTTTTTTTACTTGCTGGTAAATCTTACCTCAAAGAACAACTCCATCTAAACAAAAGGAATTTGTACCAATGTTAAATATCAAGCCACTTTCCATTTCTTAAGTCTTGCTACAGAGTATCACAATTGAGAGAGCATGTGTTATATGCCTTGAACAGCAGCAGGATAAATGTAAATGGTCTGTCTTTCTGAACACACATTCACCCTGGGTACTCCAGATGCCAAGCTTAAGCTCATGCTATCATGCAATCACTTCAACATCTGCATTTCACTAGGCAAGTGAGAAAACCTGTGTCAGATGTATGGAAGCAAACACAATCTGCTAAAAACAGCAGACACCTTTCCCAGCAGTCAGTCTTTAGGCCTATGCACACTTGCCTTATGCACTTGTGGGAGCAGCCTCTGGCACTAGTTGTGGCACCAGTTGTACCACAGGAAGGAGTCGAGTAAGTGACAGAAGCCCAAAGACACTTCTGACTCTCCCAGTCTCTTGTTACCTCTTCCTCACCATCAGGCTGGGGCAGATGTGGAAGTTTATAACTGCAGAGAGGAACTCAGGGAAGAACTCACATGAGCGGAATGACTGCTAGAGAACAAAGCTCAGGTAACAGCACAGGAGTGGCCAAATGCAAACAAACAGCTGTTCCAGGAAGAAACAGCCTTGTTCAATACCAACAAAGAGACTGGGGGAAAAAACGGAGAGTGGTTTGACCTGTTTCTATGGCACAACCTCTGCCTCGATCTGCAACAGCCATACAGCCCCACAAGAGCCACAATTTTGCCCCTTCAGCACTTCTTGATTAAAGAATAGAAATTGATACCTGTGTGCGGTTGAATGCTACTCTTGCAAAGACAGCTTGAGACACACTGGCTCTCTTCAGCTCATCTCTGACTTGCTGGTAAATATCTGGAGACACTTCCACCGATGAATTTGATGGCTCTGGTTTGACAGCTCTAGGGATGGGTGGATGATTCAAGAACTGCTGGTTGATAGCCTGTGGGTGCTGGTGAGCCAACAGCCGGCTGACAGCAATCTGCTGGTTTATCAGATGGGCCATTGCTATCTGCTGCCTCACCAGTTGTGGACTGAGCTGAGGAGACAGGAGCCCAGGATTTATCATTGTTTGCATCGTTGGCACCTGGTTTCGTATTGGAGTACTGTGGTGAATTTGGCCATGAGGAGACTGTTCGTTAGTTTTTCCCAAAGTTGCCAGCTGGTTGATATTTGGTAAGTGCATGGGACGTTGACCAAGAACACAATAGTCTGAAAGGTTTTCTCTTTCCACTCTTTCCACTGTTAAAAGAGAAAAATTTGCTTGCTGTCATTTCAGTTTGCACTTAGGGCAAGGATTATTGCAGGTGACTACAAAACAGCACCTGCTTTACTTTGTAAGTCTACACTTGCATAGAAGTTTCACAGAAACATAAGCAAAAGCAACATAAAGTAAAACTCACAACATTAATTAACATTCTTTTGGATTCTCAGGCTTCATCCACTACTCAGGAAACCTCCTTACAAATCAGTAGCAGGTATCTTCTCCAGCCTCATTTCCTAAAGAAACAAGCTTGGACACTTCCAGTGATACTGTCACTAACATTTGAATCTGTCACAGAAAATTGAGTAACTTTTAGAAGTGGTCAATGTTGCAGAATCACTGCCATCTAGCTAAAGGAAAGAAGCTCAAATTAGTATCCACTCACACAAACCCCACAGAAACCGGACCATTCCCTGTGCAGATCATGGAACAGCTTCTCATTATAAACTCTGCAACGATTATCCTTTCCAACAAAAACTCCACCTTGCACTGTGTGTGGATAAAGCTATCTGGTATCCTCAGTTCACCCAAGTCCACTACACTGGACTCATGCTGGTTGGGTGAAAGCATACTACAAAACCGTGCAATTCACAAGTGAGAAGTATCTAAAGCAATGGTTCCAAGAGCCAAAGCCTCATCACTGTGAGTCTATCCAGAAACCTTAAAGCACCTCTGCATGAATGCCCACTTTAGAGGAAGTGGCTTCACTGTCTTCATAAAAACTTTGTTTAGCACAACAGAGACCTGCGATCCCTAAGTGGCACCATGATACAAAAAATGAAACAGTGCACACAAAATGAATATACTTAAATTTTAATTTTATATACTGGTATGTATTGTTTCTGTTAAATGTGTTATATCTGCAGTATCACAGTATCTTTTCATGTAACTGCCAAACTAAATGCACATATTACAAACCCAAATTTCCTCTAAAAGTACTATTTGAAATATAGTACTTTTATGAAGAAATGAAGATTATAAAGTACATAAATATAACTCCTACTTAGATAATCTTAAGTAATCAGAAGTCATTTTACAGTAGGTTGCAGATTCCATGAGCCTCAGTACATGCAATTGGATAGGCACTTATATATTGAAGTGATATAAAAGTGTTCAGAGATGTATATCATACAACTAGAAAACCACTACCTCACCCCTGTATTGCTCTCAGCAAATAATAAGATAGGATTTTCTTTCATAAATGCCATAATACTATTATGACTTATGTAATTATTAACAATGGTACCAGGCTTTGAACTCTTTTAAAAAACTTAATCTATATAAAGCTTTGAAGCTTTTCACAGTTAATACTGAGAACAACAGTTTACTGATGACTTGCTCTGTTTCCTTCTAAATCGAAAGACAGCTCTTTTCACCATCCAAAGTTAATCTGAGCCTGACAGGGAATAATGCCCTGAACACACACAAACACAGTTACTATCTCTAGAACTGTCACTCTGGAATATCACAAGTACTGAATTTTACAACAAGGTGAATTATACCCAGGATTTCCTTGTAAGAAATTTTAGCTCACTCATCTCATTCTTTTAAAGGAGAACCTCATAAAATATTTAATATTCTATGAAATAATTGCTTTTTAAAAACTTTTTAAATAAACATTAATTTGTAAGAAAACGGTTAATTCAATTTTTCCACAAAAGCCAGTGCTTCAAGCTGACTAAATTTCTAAGTAAGTGCTTACTTATGTGGTGTATTTCAGCTATGAAATGCAATGCAATATGTGTGATACATAAACACTAGAGTCAGCAAATGACCATTTTGCTGTGTTACTCGCAGGCTGTCAGATACGTAATGCAGTATTTCAGTTTGCTGAAAATACTGAAAATCCCTGTTCAGAAGCTGCTGCTCACGATTTCAGTAGGCATCCCTGAAATCAGGCACAGAAAGCTCTATACCTCTAGTCTCTGGCATTAGGAACAGACATGAACTCAATGTGGAATATGAAATACAAGCAGTGCTAATGCTGACCCTGCGTCGATACAGAGATGTCATGTGTGGGCAGGGGAGTGGGGAAGAGGGGCTGCTTTGTCACAGCCCCAGACCACACGGATGACTCAGGACCCACATGGCCATACTGTTGCCTCCTCAGCCTCTCTGCAGTAAGCCTGTACCTGAGTAATTCCATTATATACACACATTTGCCAGCAAAACCAAATGTAATTATTCCAAAGGTGCCATAGCTACTTGGCAGGTATAACTACAATAAAGATGTTGCTCAGTGTACATAAAATAGTTGGAGCATCCTGCTACATCATTTACACCCCTAGAAATCTAGAGTCCTTCCACTAGGAGTTTAAGAAAAGCTGAAAGAAATTCTGAACTATTTGTAGTTTAAGAAGCACACAGAGGACAAGTTACCGAAACCAACAAATTACTACTTGTTAGAACACAAAAACAGTAACCAAGTGTTTTTGAAAACTTGCTGAGAAATAAATATAAATAACATTCACTTTCTGGGCTGAACCACATTTGCCAAGTTTCCACCCACTCCTGACTTCAGTGCCAAGTTATAAACCCCTATAAAAATAAAGTTTGAGATGAAAAGGCTGCCAGGCTGTTAATCTCTGCAGTGCTACTTGGAATTACTTAGAGACATCACCTGACTTACTTCCATAGGTGTGTTTTTCCCTTATTATCAGTTTCCTTTTTTGATCACATTAGACTATACAGCCATGCATGTACTCCCTATAAACAAACCGGATTCTAGTCACTCCAACCACTTCAATAATAAAAGGTTACCATTAGCAGTTACGCTGGATGGAAAAAATGTGCATTACTCAACTTCAAGACTCTTTCCTTCTCTAACGCATTGCCCATATCTGATTCCCTGTTGTTCTGTGGTAACCACGGATTAGTTGGGTTCTACACAGCTGAACAGGAGCAAGACTGAGACAACCTCAAGATGGAGACAGGCACTGTCCTGGGAGACAGGCCAGCTTGACAGCAATGCTTTCAGAAAAAAGGGATACAGAGGAGCAACAAAGCTGCTGTGACACCAACATTCTACCTCAGATCTTCCTGACACAGGGACTTTTCCATTTGCATCCTTCATTTTCCATGTTCACACACAATTAGAGCCTTTTCCTTCCCTTGTTTGCTATTATTTCACTCAAACTAGGAATATATTTACAGTTCTTGTAGTCCTGCATGAACTGGCTGGTACTTGAATATATTGACTGGAATATAAGGCAGTGAGGACAGACCAGCAGGACCTTAAACTGGGAAGGAAGGGGTTTCATGGATGTGTGCTGTCTACATTCAAGTACTGCTGATAAACTACTTCTGCTAGCGAAGCCTGTGCTAGTTAAACAAAAGCTGGTTCAGGAGGCTGTTACCTACCTCCATCTGTGGTGTGACCACAGCAAAAGACATTGCAGTGTTTTCCTTTTCTCATCACATTGCATGCTTGGTATATAGTTCTGCAGTACTTTGCTTGAACAAAGTACAACAGTACTGTCATATTGCAGAGCCACCCACCCTTCTGAAGCAAATCACTAGGTAGGCAGAGACCTGTTTGGACAACAGGTACTGTGCTAAGCTCAGCAATCAGCTCCCAGAGCTGACAGCATATGCCCTTCATTTTTCTATACCTTCCCACAACGTCACTACCTCTACAAGACAGTCAGAAACCAACATAATCCCCACAATGGGAGCAGCAAATTGTTGTATTTCAATGTTCCGTTCTGGTCCTGTAATGATTACCATGTGCGTCAATGTATTTCTATTCCATACTGAGTTAAAACTTCCTGGATACAGCACAAAAGGAATTCAGTGCACCCTTCCCCTGTGTGATGCTCTTAACCTCTACCCCAATCTTCCTTGCACAGTCAAGCAGCTGACGCAGTCCACAGCACAATAGCTTGGGGTGGTCTGCATGCAACTTTCCATTTAAAATAAAACCAGCTCAAAAGATTTAAAATAAGATTTATTTCTCCACCTTCCCTTCCCCTCACACTTTATTTGCACTGAGTTGTTAATAGGAACATTCTGACAAACATCCCGTAAGGCATTTAGGGCTTAAGAGTGGCACTGACTTGACTGACAGCACTGGAAACCAAATTCCTGTGCACAATAAGGGATGCAGCGGGGAGAGCAAGAGCGTAACGTGTCTCCCAGCACTGCACTGCAGCCGGGACACAGAGCACCCGCCAGCGTCCATGACCCAGCGCGTCCGGAACTTTTCAGTCCCACAGGCATACAGGCACTTTGCCCCAGAGTAGGAAGAAGCTGGTAAAGAAACGTTTTGTAATAAGTTACTAGCCAGCAGAATTGCCATGCCTCAATTGTGACAAGATGTCACCACCCAGGGCTGTTCTCCAGTGCTTCAGAGTTTGCTTCTTTGTTTTATTTATTATTTAAAACCTGGTGATCATAAAAGCCATTGCTAGCGGTGGTCATGGCTGAGCTGGGAGAGCTCTGTGAACTCTGGTATACCCTGCACTAAGCTTGAGACAGAAAGGTTCTCACAATTTCTCCTGGCTTAGCACCATCCTGCTCACTGGAGCAAGACCCGGACTTTGGAGCCCTGCTTGGGGGGTGAAGTGTTCTCCAGCACAGTACCACCCTCTGCCTCGGAGAGACAGGGCTGTGCACTGTACCCAGAGGGTGCCCTCCTGCTTATGCTACATAATAATGAACTACCACTTTGTAAATAACAGAAACACTCCAGAGCACAGGAGGTGCTTTTAAAGTGGTAATTCTGTATCTTTTCATCTATAATTAGGATAATTACTTATTTCTTTTAATCACAGCTCACTTAACCACTTCAGTGCAAAGGGCTGGTCTGAGGAGTCTCATTTTCATTCAACATCTAATCTTCATATTTACCCGGAGTCATTCACTGACTTCACTGCCTGATCTCTGTCTGGGCCACTTGCTCCTGCAGTCAGAACTGGAGAAAAAGCAGTTTGATGGGAGAGGCAGACTTGACAAGAAGTTGCAACTTTTAAAACCTTTC